AAACAACCCATTTTGTGCTCTGGGTCATAGATGGGTGAAGAAGGGGCGGGCCAGGCTGCAGCTGGGGTCTGACACTCACTTACTTAACCTTCCAACTCTTGCCATTTTCCCTTGTGCTCATGGTCTGTCCAAGGCAACTATACATGTTGACCGAGAAGTCAGAGGGAGACCAAACCCAAACAAAACAAAAACCAGCAGCAACAAATCATACCCCTGGCTGAGCGAGAAAATCATCTGATCTGGTCTCTACTAAAGTTGAACACACACACCTTCTAAAGAAAATCAATCAATAAAAAATAACTGCAGTGCAGTGCATTACTTTATATGACTCTTATACCCATGACCCTTACAACTCCCACCAAACCATTTTTCTTGACCGGACTGGGTAAGGAAAGGTGGGAAAAGATGTTGGTAGGATATAATTCAGGTTAAATGGGATCCTAGAAACTTGGAACTGGAGTGTGGGTTTAAAATGAGTCATCTCTGAGACAGGATCTGGGAATCTCATGACCATCACAGAAGAAGAGTCAGGCATGGAACACATTCTTTGAATCCAGAGATCCCTACTCATTGAGCTTCCCTGACCCAGGGCCAGAAGGCCGTGACACCGGAGGAGCGGCAGCAGCAGAAACAAGAGCCAGAGCGGAAAGTTTTCCATCCCATGGAGCACATCAGAGCTGAGCGATTTGGGGAAGGAGGCTTACTTGCAGAGTGGGGTGCCTCCAGCCATTTAAGTTGGGGAGCTAGGTTTGCTGACACATGGAGCTACAGCCCAGTGACTTCGGGGTGGTGTGCTTTCTGGGCATTTGTCAGTGGCTCTAAAAGAGGTTTGTAACATTTTCTGGTCAGACAGAGGCCTGCCTGTGTGTGGGCCTGGCTGAGGAGTGGTTGTCCTGACTGGAACAATTGTGCTCTGCTCAATTCTGACCCTGAATTATAAACTGGTAACTTCCCTAATAAACCCCATCACTGTGTGTACCGTCTGTGAGTTCTGTGTGAACATTGCAATGGGTTCAAGTACCCATGCAAGTGAGAAGCAGAGAGGGTTGTGCGGGGAGAGGGTTGATTTGGTACCACATTTGTCACACTAGTCTGTTGCCATCAAGTCAATTCTGGCTGATAGTGATGCTACAGGGCAGAGTGGACTGCCATACAGGGTTCCCAGACTGTCATGTTTATGCGAGCACACTGTCACACCTTTCTCCCATGGAGTGGCTGGTGGTTGAATGGTCAACAGTTTGGTTACCACCCTTACACACATTCTGTTGTTGTTATGTGCTGTGGAGTCTGTTCCGACTCACAGTGACCCTGTATAGGGGTTCCGAGGCTGTCAATCTTTATGGGAGCAGAAAGCTTCCTCTTTCTCCCGTGGTACATCTGGTAGCTTCGAACTGCTGACCTTGAGGTTAATCAGCCCAATTTGTAACCACTATGCTACCAGAGCTCCTCTGCAATTCCAGATGGCGCCAGAGAAATGTACACTCTTGTGCAGACAAAGGCGTGCATGAGAATGCCCTCAATGCATTATTCACTATAGCCCCCAAACAGGACCCCACCCAAATGCTCATCACGATTAGCACGGACACATTTCTGGTAAATTCCAATAATGATATCCACTACAACAATGAGAACAAAAGAACTGGAGCTACAGACAACAGGCACACACAATGTACCAACAAAAAAAAGAGAACAATTATCTTGAATACGCAAGTGTACAGAGACTGACAGTTTAACCATTAGTGGTTATCAGGGCTGGGCGGGAGGGAGGGGAAGGGAAGATCTAACAGTTAAGGGAGCTGAACCTCTATGAAGGATGATGGAAACGTTTGGGCATGGATAAGGGGGATGGTTGAACGATATGAGGAATATAGTTAATATCACTGAGTTTCTTCGCATGTGAAGAGTGCAGAAAAGGCAAACATTTTACTACGTGTGTGTTTATGGATAGACACCTACGCTCCTCGCTTGTCACCCATCTCACCATCCAACATCTCGAAAAATCTACAAGCCAACTGTTTTGTGCCTTGGCGACCCATGCCTGGAAGAAATGAGCCACAAGGTGTGAGGTGAGAGTTACATGGCTGCACTGATGAAGTGTCAGCTTGGTTGGGCCATGCTGGTCAGTGGTTGGGCAGTTATGTAAAGATGCCATCGTCCTCCACTTTCACATAACACTGATTTTCCTATAACCACCTGGTCTTTGGAACCCTACCATGTTGCTAGGTAAGCAGTGTGTGTATTTGTCATTAGGTGAGGTTGAATCGGTTCTGACTCATGGTAACCCGCTGTGTACACAGTAGAACTGCTCCATGCCATTTCTCAAGGTGATGACCTTTGGGAAGCAGATCCCCAGGCCTGTGTTCATGTGCTTCTGGGTGAGTTGGAACCCCTGGTTTTCAGCTAGTATGTTGAGCACTTAACTTTGAGGGCCACCCAGGGAATGAATAGATATGTACACACATACACACCAAACCCAACCCACTGCCCTTGGGTTGGCTCCAACTCATACTAAACCTACAGGACAAAGTAGGACTGCCTCACTAGGGGTCCTGGCGTGGCACTGTAGGATAAGTGCTAGACTGCTAACCTGGGTCAGTGGTTCAAATCCACCAGCTGTTCCTTAGAAACCTTATACATAGTGTTGCTGTGATTCAGAACCAATGTCACAGTACTTAGCAACAACATATGCATATATATACATATACATGTATTTGATGGAGTGTCCTGGTGTGGCACTGTAGGATAAGCACTGGACTACAAGGTCAGTTTGAATGGCAAGGCTGGCAGTTCAAACTCACCAGCCATTCCTTGAAAACCCAACACAGTGTCATTATGAGTTGGAATCGATGTGATGGCACTTAACAACAACAATAACAACATATTTGCCAAATTCAAAACAAGCAAACATGTAGTATAATTATATATATATATATATAAAATGTCAAAATAACAGGACAAATCAGTCTCTGGCTTTAGAAGTCAGAATGGCTGGAAGAGCACATGGGTTGGAAGAAGGTGTGAGTGGGGGGTCTGGGGCTGATCCATTAATCCTGTTAGTTCATTGTGCAAAAATCATTCCAGGCCAGAACGAACAATTTGTGAATGAGTTTTGGAGACTTCCTGGCTTCAACTCCTAACTATGTGCCTCGGGCCCCTGCTCAGACACCAAAGAGATTCAAATGACAAAATGTGGGTAGCCAGAGACCCTGGGAGTGAGGCAGGGATTGAGCTTGATGGTTTAGAAGGGCTTGTCTTTGTGCAACCAGACACAAAACAAGCCACAAGTCCTCTCCCAGGTGGGGGATGCAGAACAGCCCAGGGACAAGAAGCAACTTCCTGGGTCTGAAAAGAATGTCTGGGAGTCACATTCCACTCCTCAGAGATTCCTGACAGCAGAGACGGTCCATGGACGATGAGTCTCTGGATTATCAAAATTTTCCTCATTAAATTTCTCCTTCATTTCAAACAGAATCTTTTTTAATGGGACCCTTTCAAAAACGCATTTCACACATCCCTGGTTTTCTAAAGGGTCCGCGGGAATAGACTGTAATCTTTAAAACAACAACAGTAATAATTAGGTATTGGCCACGGACCAGACGCCGTCCAAAAGGCTTTCAATCAAAACGCCTCTCCTAATCCTCATAAAACCCTAGGAATTAGTCCTAATTTACATTTGAGGCTTGGATAGATTAAATAACTAGTCAAGGTCAAACAGCAAATAATGGGACTGGAGGGGCTATTTTACGTCCAAGTCTATGCTCTTAGCCATAGCCTGTTCTGCCTTCAAGAAGCTGGGGTGGTTCTGTGGTGTAGGTGTTGGGTAGCTTATTGCAAAGTTGGTGGTTCAAACTCACCAGCCACTCTAAAAGATGAGGCTGTCTGCTCCTATAAAGACATATAGTCTTGGAAACCATCCATAGGGTCACTATGAGTCAGAACCAAATCCACGGCACATACCCACCACCACCACCGCAAGTCAATATAGACTAGACTGCAATGAGTCTAGCTTTTGGGTTGGTCCTGTGTTGGCAGCTTCAGATGGTTCCTGTATGCTACGCTCAGTGTAGATGTACAGGATAAGCACTGGTGGTTCAAACACACCAGCTGCTCTTCGGAAACCCTATACAGGGTTGTTATGAGTCCAAACTGACTTGAGGCACTAAACAACACAACAACAACAACAACAACATGGTCAATGAGATTGATACTCCAAGTCAGTTTGAGTTCTCGTTGTCTCCCCACATTTTCTTTCTCTTTTGCCAGCGCTGTATTGTTCATGGTGAAATAAAACTGCTATATTTGATTTAGTTGTTGTTGTTAAGTGTTATCGGATGATTCCAACCCACAGCGACCCTGTACAGGGTTTCTGAGGAACAGCTGGTAGGTTTGAACTGCCAACCTTGTGGTTCACAGTCCAGTGCTGATCCTATAGCTCCACACCAGAAGTCCCCAAAATTGCCTACCTACAACTGGATAAAAATCTAGACTACTTGGTTTTCACCACTTCAAATAAACTCTCAACCTTCTTAGATATTCCCAGTAGACTACGATAGCCCACAGAGTTAGAGCAACTTCTTCATCAATTTGAAACACTCCTCTGGTTCTTTGTATTTCAAAGTATCTTGGATTTGCTGCCTGTTAGCATAGTCCTGGTGTGGCGCTGTGGGTTAATGCACCAGATTGCTAAACCATTTGAACTGCAAGTTTGATGGTTCAAACTCACCAGCTGCTCGTCAGAAACCCTATACAGGGTTGCTATAGGTCGGAACTGACTCGACGGCACTTAACAACAACAACAACAACATAATCCAGAAGGAAGCCTGTGGTGCTCATCAGATTAACCCAAACAGTTCTTCACTGGGATCTATCTGGACCACAGTCTCCCTTCCCCAAACGCAACAGTGAGCACAGATAAGGATGGGGTAACATGCAGAGAACCCTTTTCTGTGAGCTTTATGGGCTGGAGGGTCTGCAGAGAGAAAGGAATCATCATTTCTTACCCTGATTTTAAGCTGACCAAGGCATCCTCTACACCTTTCTGATTGAATTTGGTCATGTACTGATGCATGTAGGGATAGTTATTCCGAATGTTTCTCTCCGTACTCCCATTAGGCACCGTGCCAAATCGAAAAGGTGGGGAATAGTCATGCGGTCTCTGAAACTAGAACAGAGAAACAGGAGAAGGAAGGAATGAGAAGACCTGGAAATCATCAGCCAGCATGCTATGTTGTATCAGCAGTTACACACATGGGTTGGGACTGACTTCATGGTACCTAACACCACCACCACCAGTAGCATGCATTAATGCAGGACAGTAGGGAATAAACCAACACATTTATTTCTGTAGCTTCTTTCTCCTTGATCATATCTTTCACTGGTCTGTGTTCCTAGCACGTTGGGAACCGTGTCTGCCTTGTTCCACTCTATTCTCCACATAGGCATAGCTGGATGCTCACAATTGTTGGTGTTGGGTGCCACTGAGACAATTTCAACTTGCAGCAACCCATTTGACAGAGGAGAACTGCTTTATAGGAGTCCTGATGTGACACTGTAGGATAAGTACTGGACAGCAAAGTCTGTGGATTGAACTCACCAGACGCTCCTCAGAAACCCTACACAGGGTCACTATGAGTTCGAACTGACTTGATGGTACCAAATAACAACAAAGGGATTCTCCGCTGGAACCTGTATGGGCGTAGGTCACCAGATCTCTCTCCCACACAGTGGCTGGGTAGGTTTGAACCACCAAACTTTTGGTTAGCAGTTGAAAGCTTAACTGTTGCTTCATCAGGTCTCCTTGGAGAGTTAAGACACTCAAGGGGGCTTCAAAAAGCCTGTGGGAAAATGTCATGAAAACATAACGGAATTTTTGCACAAAACTTCGGAAGCCCCCTCGTTTTGTGGACTTGAAGGTTTCTGCTCCTCTTTTGTCGATACTGACTCAGCGACTTTATGCACAGCAGAATGTAACACTACCTGGTCCTGTGCCAACCTCACAGCTGTGGCTATCCTTGCCGTGACTGTGCCAATCCATCTTGTTGGGAGTATTCTACTTTTTCACTGATCCTCCACTTTACCAAGCATGATGCTGTACACTCCATGTTCTGATTGTTAGTGGCTGTTTACTGCTGTTTCTACTCATTTGACGAGTGCCTCATCAGCAAATGAAGGCTCTAAAAGCTCTACTACATTCAACTCTACTTTGAGGAGGCAGCTCTTCCCAGATTGTATTCTGAGTGCCTTCCAACCTGAGGAGTTCATTTTCTGGCATTTTATCTAACAATATTCTGGTGCTCTTCATGTTTCAATATTCAATATTCTCGTGCTGACAGTGTTCCACTAATATTCATAAGGTTTTCAGTGACTAAATATTTGGAAGTAGTCCGTCTCTCCTTCTTTCTAGCTCATCTTCATCTGGAAGCTCATCTGAAACCTGTCCACCATGGGTGACCCTGCTGGTATTTAAAATACCGGTGGCATAGCTTCCAGAATCATAGCAACTCACAAACCACCACAGTACACACCGATAATCTATGATAAACCAGGTAATCTATGTCTGGGAGTTCTGGCGTGGCGCTATGGGTAGGTTAATGCACTGGAGTGCAATCTCAGTTTGAACCACAAAGTTGGTGATTCAAGCTCACCAGCTGCTCCTTGGAAACCCTATACAGGGTCGCTATGGGTCAGAGCTGACTTGAGGGCACTTAACAACAACCATCTATGGTCAGTAAATGCTGACTGAGTTGAAATGAGGTACTGCTTTGGTCCATTCTATTCATCCAACTTACGATGGAACTTCCTGTGTTCCCCACCAATCAATCTCTTCTCTGAGACCCATTTGTAACTATCTTTACCTCATCCAGGAAATTTGCCGCAGATCTGCCCCATGCAATACTTGATTTTGTGACGACTGTTTCCACAGACATTGATTATTGATACAAGTAGACTGAAATAGTTGAGAAGTGCCATTGTCCCTCCATTCATTGTGGCATTATAGGTCCAGGTGCAAATCTTTTCCTTTGCTCCACATTCAGGCATAACCCATACTGAAGTCTTTGGATACCCCAGGCAAACTGCCTGGCACATAGCAGGTTGCATGAATGCATCCTGAGCTGAAATCCCCTAACCGTTAGCTTCCTGGGGATGTCCATTTCTTGCTGGGCTCTCGAGCCTCCGTAAGTCATGTTGCTCATACTCCACTCGCCTTACCTGATGCGATGTCTGGTACGTCCACCCACAGCTTTAGTGAATGGGCACCTCAACCAGATAAGGAGATGAAGAACTGCGTATGAGTCCCAGAAACATATCTAATAATCCAGAGGAAGTTCAGGGCACTGACCAGCAGTACGGGGTTGGCACTGAGGACTGCGGGGTACAAACCCATTTCCTCTCCCTCAAAAGCTGCAACTGTAGTTCAACCACAGCACTTTACAAGGTGTCTTTTCAGTTTCATCCAAAGAACGTGCACAACGTAACAGCACTTCCCTAACAGGGTCAACATGAGGACCTGAAAATACCATTTGTCAAGCCATAGGAATCCTACCTAGTCAGACTAAACACTCACAAATCAACCCATTATCAGTTTTCATATTTATTATCATTGTGATACACAAAAGAATACTACCGTGCTGTCCCTCATTTTTTTCCTGTGGAATATGGAATTCGAGAAGCAGAAGAGACTATACCAAAGACAATCACTTTCTGAAGGCGTCCGTGCTGCCAGCACTGTGCCAAGGCATTTACAAGCATTAGCTTCTTCAGTCTCCACAGCAGGTTTTCTAGATGTTGTTGTTAAACACCATTGAGAAGGTTCTGACTCACAGCGACCTTGTATAGGGTTTCCAAGGAGCAGCTGGCAAGTTTGAATGACAACCTTGCAGTCCAAACCAACCTTGCAGCCCAGCACATTAGCCCACAGCACTACAGATAGTGAATCTTAAAAGGTCTACTTTAGAGATGAGGAAACTAATGCTTACAGAGGGTTTCACCCAACTATGGTTGTTGTTGATACTTGCCATTGAGTCATGGTGACCCCATGTACAATGGAAAAACAAAACAACAAACAAAACTGCTGCCCAGTCCTGCACCATTCCTAAGGTCAGCGGCAGATCGGACTACTGTGATTTATAGAGTTTTCAATCACCAGACCTTTCTTCCTAGTCTTCCTTAGTCTGGAAGCTTTGTTGGAACCTGCTCAGCATCCAAGCAACATGCAAGCCTCTACAGACAGATGGACGGTGGAGGAACATGAGGTACTTTACACTATTCATGGCCTGGAATCCAGGGGAACTATTTCTGAGGCTCAAGGTAAAGAAAACAAAACTCCTCACCACTAGACAAATAAATAACATCATGATAAATGGAGAAAAGATCGAAGTTGTCAAAGACTTCATTTTACTCGGATCCACCATATACACTTACGGAAGCAGCAGTCAAGAAATTAAGCAATGTATAGCATTGGGCAAATCTGCTGCACAAGACCTCTTTAAAGTGTTCAAGAGCAAAGATGTTCAGTTTGAGGATTAAGGTGTGCCTGACCCAAACCATGGTATTTTCAATTGCCTCATATGCACATGAAAATTGGATGATGAATAAAGAAGAACACAGAAGAATTGACGCATTTGAGTTATGATGTTGGAGAAGAATATTAAAGGTACCATGGACTGTCAGAAGAACAAACAAATCTATGTTGGAAGAAGTACAGCCAGAATGCTCCTTAGAAGCCAGGATGCTGAGATTTTGTCTCTCATCCTTTTGTATGTTATCAGGAGGGTTCATTCCTTGGAGAAGGACATTATTCTTGAAAAAGAAAAGGGTCAGCAAAAAAGAGGAAGATCTCCAATGTGATAAAATGGCATAGGGGAAGGCAGAGTTTTGTTCTGTTGTAAACAGTGTCTCTATTTGTCATTGTCAACTCTACAGCACCTAACAACCACATCCCAGAGCAGAGTCCCTGGTACAAACGGTTAACATGCTCAACTGCTAATCAACAACAGGCTAGATTCAAGTTCACACAGAGTTATCTCAGAAGAAAGATCTGGCAATTCACTTCTGAAAAATCAGTCACTAAGAACCCTGTGGAGCCCAGTTCTGTTCTGATACACCTGAGTCACCCCAGGTCAAACTCAACCCACATGCAACTAGTATAAAGTGACCAGAAGCTAAGGTCTCGACTATCATTCTCAGGGGCCATTGTGAGTGATCCCCTGCTCTGAGATCAACTGGGACAGCCCAGCATGTTTTCTGTGGCACCAACAACTCTACAGAAAGCATCTGAGTTTACTGATGAGTTAGTCCTGGCAGAAACTCACTCGTGTTTCCAGACTTTCAAGTCATCTCATCATTAATTACAGTTTCTAGTTGAAAATCCTTCCTCCTGAAGTAGGCCTTCTGCTACCTAATATGCATTCACAACTGGATTAGGGGGTGCTCTCCCAATAAGATCTCCCTGCATGGGGAGTGGTGCACTTGTGTGCAAGCCTCTGCATGTCATTGTGTGCATGTATACGTGTGCACATTTCCCTATGTGTGCATATATCGGCATATGCGTGTCTATACATGTGTGCATGTTCAAATATGTGCTTGCACGTTTCCATGTATGTTGGTGCACAGTGTCTCTGTGTGTATCCATAAGCATGGCTATATCTCTGTTTGTGTGTGCACATGCATATGTGTGCACAGGTGGGTCTTCATTTGTGCATGTGTGCAAAGTATGTGTTTGCACATGTGTCTCTGTGTGTACATGTGCCATGTACACATGTGCATCCATGTGAGCATGGCTACACCTGTTTGTGTGTGCATCCCTGTACATATGACTGCTCCTGTGTGCATATGTGTGCATGTGTCTTTGCTTATGTGTGCACCCATGTGAGCATGGCTGCACTGTGCATGTGTGTGCATGCATGTGTGTACATACAGGTGCATGCTTACATGTGGGTTCACATATGTCTATGTCTATGCATGTATCCATGTGATCAAAGCTGTGCATGTGACTACATCTGCCCTTGTGTGTGCATGTACATGTATGCCTATGTGGACACTTGCTTGCATGTGTATTCATGTATGTGTGCACGTATATGGGTATGGTGTGCATCCATGTGAGCATAATGGCACCTGTGGTTGTGTGTGCAGTTGTATCAGTGTGTACATATTGAACCATAT